TCGAATTTACTGTTGTTGTTGGAGTAATTGAGAAGTTCGACATTCCTTCATAGCAAATAATGCAGAAAACACATGGAAATGTGTAGAGCAATAATACGAGAGAGACAAACAACTTCATATTTTTCAACATCATGAAATGGGTAAGAATAAAAGCAATCATTCATTTTTGCCACGCATCATTGAAAGTAGTAATCAATCCCTTACGTTTATTCACCTGCGTATCAATATGCCTAATTCAGTGAATGACAATAATAGAACGTGCATATCTGTCAAGATAATCTAACTCAATGCATCTATTATAAGAGAATGCACGTTGATCGAAGTTTTTGCATGACAGCGGAGAAAAATGAAAACGGCCTTTTATTGCACTTTTTTATTTAAAATATCCAAAGTTCGTTTATGTGTAATACATACATTATCAGCGTTCTTTCTCTTCGAAAAACAAGTGAAGATGGAGAAAAAAAAAAGGATTATGAAATGTATGGGTACTGAATACTCAGAAGTCATACATTTCATTGTTCATCGCTCCGCGAAGCGTGTCATTGTGGAAAAACTAACTGTATAGGGAAAAAATGGGAAGGATTCTGTGTCAGCCAGAATTGTCAGACTTATCTAAATCAGCTAGTTTCATTCATAAGTTTAGTGGACTTCCAACAAAATTTTTCGCCTAGATGCAAATAACAAGACAGTTCCAGATAAATACAGCACGACATTCATTTAGTGTTCTAAAATTCTCTCGATCCTTCTCTTCTATGGTCGATCATATGAAGAACCAGATATGAAAATTCTAGTCGGCTTTTCTTCAAACAAGTAGAGAAAATCGAAAATATTCTCAAGTCACGCAAGTTTAAGACATATTATCATCTATGCCGAGATTTTACAGGATATGAATGTGTACCTTCTTTTCACCAATATTCACACTCAATACTTCGGGCTAGATTGAATAAGGAACAGAACATAGGAAAGATTAATGTTACAGTTTGTCAAGGACATCATTTATTTTACATACATTTTCTGTTTTCCTCATTTCAGTATTCGCTTTTATAAACTATGACAAAATATATTTCAGAGTACTTTGCTCGATCTGTCATCCATTGGTTATGTATGCAAACAGATCCTCGAATAATTTCAGGTATTTTCTAGTACAGAAAAAAAAACTCGATGAACAGGAAGTAAGATTTTTCTCAAGATCATCAGAGATAGTGTCACTTTAACAAAACAGAGAAACGCCTGTCTTAGATAGGAATTTTGCCTAGACAAGGCTAATTTTTACTTGAAGAGCAGAAACACTAGTTAGATAAGGTCAAACTTTACTTCCACAAGAAGAAATTTCATTTAAACTAGGATTTGCTGTTTTTTTTCAGATAAGTCCTTAGCCAGGCTTCACAAGAATAAAATTATATTTTTCGACTTGAAATCACTTCGAAAAACTAAATTGAAAAATCTTGTTTTGCTATATTCTTTCTTCTTTTTCTTATAGATTGATTATACAAATAAATTCAAAATATTTAGAAACAAGAAAAAAAAATTGCCTACAATATTTACTAAAAACAATTCAGTCTTATGTATCATGTTCATCTTTATTTTGATTCTTATGCATGAAAAATTTTAAAAGAAAAAAAATGATATAATTATTTCAAATAAAAAAATATGTTTTGATGAATTCTACATTAAAAAAAAATACAAAAAGAAAACATTTCTTTATTAGTTCTTTTCATTTATTTAGACATTAATACATTTAACTTTTCACTCTATAACCAACTGATTGAAAAGTTCTGTAATATTTGCATATTTCATCTCTCATAGAAATGAAAATTACTATTTCTAAACTTTTATATTTTCTATTATTTGTTGTTTTTGTGTAATTCACAATATATCTAGTTTGAGTTCAAGTTCTCTTATTCCAATGAAGTTTCATATAAAACAAAAATATTTCATTCGCAAATAAAAACCTAGACATTTGGTTATCATCTATCATTTTTATAACAGATAAACACATTAATAATTTGTTAAATATTTTAAACTTATATGATTGATTTTGAGAGAGTATGATAAAAATATGTCTTGTAAAAGAAATAAAGTCACACAGACTATCATCATCATTGATTCAAAGTATTTGTATTTATGAAGTTTTATTGAAAATAAATTTACTATGTAATGGAATTATAGATGTTAGTTTTTTTTCTCATGATTACCACTACGACATGAACATGATGAAAATTCATTTTACTTGTGTCGTTGTGAGAAGAATTATGAATTAAGTACTGTGTCATGTGACGTAAGAAAAATAAGAAAGAAAAACATGAAATACGAGAAAGATTCATAACTATGTAAATCGAATCTATACCATTGCTTGGGTTTTTTTTATAGTTATGGTTTTTCAAAATAGGTATGGATATTGTTATAGTTTTTTGTTTTTTCGGTCTTCATCTATTTTTTTTTCTTCGTCTGTTTTTTTAATTTTCGAGTCACTATTCGTTGTAGACGGTATCGAGAATATCTTGTATTGCAATCATTATATTATTGCAACCATCTGGTTGACACAAGAAATTAATTGTATAATAAAATCTTGCCATTGGTTCTCAATAATTGATATTCATAAATTACCTGCATGAATGACGTGTAAGCAATACATACCTTGAGAAAAAAGTAGGTATAATATAATTATACATACATGGCTATCTTTTTGATTTGTACAATAAGTAAGGAGACGAAATGCAGGTTAAATTATTAAACTTGATTTTGTTTGCCAAATAAAAATTTGTCTATAGATTAACAATCTCAAAAATATTAGAATTACATTATTAAATCATCGATTCATTCAATAGTGAAAATATAGACGTAGAAAATCAAAGCACTTTATCATATAGGATTGTTTGATTGAAAACTGGAAAGTTTGTTTAAGAAAGCTAATCGAAGGCTAAATTCTGTTCAATATTGCACCTATTTTATTTAGATAGAACATTAAGAAAATATTTAATGAACACAAGGACTTGCATAGCTGCATGATCATTAATTTCGTATTATGAGAAATCAGTTTAGTCCTAATATTCCGTATGTCATCTATCTTTTTAATAGTAAATTTTCTCTTTCAAAACTTATTCTTTTTTTTAATCTTTTAAAACTAAAAATACTAAAATAAAGAAATATTGTACTTTCTCCAATAACAATGAAGATTTTTTTTAATCTCTGCTTCATAAATTAACTGTACATCAAAATACAGATTGAGTACAGTAAAATATAGGAAAATAAAAATAAAAAAAGAAGGTATCATATGAAAGAAAGACATCAGATTATAAACAAACATGCAATATTAATCACTTTACAAAATAAAAAAATCAAATGGAAATTTGTCAATTTATAACCATGTAGACTTTCAGTAAGTTATGAAAAAAACATGGAATTATTTCTCTTCAATATTATTTATATCTTCATATTTGTTAAATTGCAATGAATACATTACTAGAATTGTTGGTTCCTTTTGCTTCATTATATTTTACTGTTAATCTGTAAAACTGTATTTTAATGCAGTATTTTTTATTCAAATTAAAGAACAATAAATTTAAGCGTATCTCTATAAACACATTGAAAATAAATTTTTGATCTCACCGACAAGTTAATACTTTCAAATGAAAAATCGTTGTTCTTTTTTTCTTTAAAGTCAACACTGAACACAGTTTTGTCACCCTCATCAGTAAAGAACAGAGAATAAACTAGATAAATCGGTAAAATAGTTTATTCACATTGTCTATTATATTATACCAGTGTTTAATCACACAACTTCAATTTATTTTTGGACATGCGAGTACATTCATGTTTTGCTAAATATTCTACAGAAAAAATCATATGAGTACTATATCGAGTACTTACGTCATTCTGCATGAACACATCTGTAGAGAAACATTCGTATGAGTAATCGTCAAAGTATATAAACCGTATTCATACATATAAAATTACTCGAGTACTCGTGCAACGAGTATTTGCACTACGAATATTACAAGGATCGTTAGACAGTGTGTTCACGTTCCAAAAAGAAGCTTACGGCATATATAGTAAGAGTGATGTCTAAGGAACTCGATTAAATTTCAGTTAGTTAAAAGTAAAACTATATTTATTCTTTAAATTATTACGAATGAATTTTCAAAAATTTAGAAAAAGAAACTTTCAAACTTTGAATTGTTTTTTATTTAAATCATTTGAATTTTAAAAACATCATTGAAATTGAGTTTGAAAGAATTTGAATTTTGATTTAGGGTCGCAAATGAAGGGGTAAAGCGCAGAGTTAATCAGTGAGCCCACTGCGAGTGTTCTTTCAATAATGAAAAACTACGAAACATTCACTTCAATAGTATCAGACCAAGCTGTGACCCGAATTTCATATAGCTGTCTTTGGAGATATTCGACACGAAGCGTTGTGCAATTGTAATATTAACATTTGTCAATCAATGAGCAGCATGAATCCAATTCGAAGAAAATATTCGGGCATTAATGATCATATTTAGAGAACAGAATCTTGTAATATAAACCGAAGGGACCTTATATGAAAATTTTGTTCGAAAAACGAAAGAGAACTTGATTTAGTAACTATTTCGAATTGTATGCGTCAGTAAACCCTTTCTAGGAAAAAGACCGTCTCTTATATCGTTCATAGAACATTTGTCTTGGATAATTAGAATGAAAGATGTCAAGACAAGAAATTCAGATGGAACCGAAATTTGAGAGAAACTCATCCATTTTAGGACTTTGACAGAATATTTTGACGTTCTAAGTTCGGCAACATTCTCTATGACTCTATAATAGAACACTTACTTTAATTGATTGTCCTGCCTAGCTAGGCGTTTATTGGATATTAGGTCCGAAAGAATTCATTAAGACACAAGTGCAAGACACACTACATACAGCTAAAAGTTCCGGCTCACAATATTGCCTCAGTTCCGTTATCATTCTAAAAAGAGGATTTATTTGAAATCGATATCATTGCTAAAATAAGCTGATAAACTTTATTTTTCTATTAGAAAAGCGAGCAAAAACGTAAAAAGAAGACGTGGAGAGAAAGTCAGATGATTAGTACCGCCTGGTGCTGTGGTAGTACCTGTCGTTTTTATTGTATTTCCTTCAGTAGTTGTGGTGTCCTTGATAGTCGTTGTACCCATGGTAGTTGTATCGACCTTGGTAGTTGTGCCAACTTTGGTAGTTGTATCGGTCTGCGTAGTTGTAGCGCCCTTGGTAGTGGTATCGGCTACAGAGACAGTATTGGCTATGGTAGTTGTATTATTTGGTGGTGGAATCGTATTCGAACTTTCATCATTACACAAATTCACAGAGCAACACGTTAAATTCATATAGATCGATGGAGTGGTCATTAGTCGTTGACATGTTGAGTTTATAATGATTCCCCAAGTCCACTTCATTGCTTGTGTTGATAATTCCTCTGCTGTACAGGCCGTGTCGTTGTTCTGACAGATAAATGCATAATTCATGCAAACACATTGACTATTCTCACAACTATTTACAAAATTCGAGTTTATTGTTATTGTTGGAGTGGTTGAGGAATTTGACACTCCTTGATAGCAAACAAGGCAGAAGATGCATGGAAAAGTACAGAGCAATAATATGAGAGAGACAAACAACTTCATGTTTTCGAGTGTCATGAAATAACTAAGTGAAAAGGCAATCGTTTAATTTTTCTACGCATCATTAGGAGCAGTAATTAAGGTATCATATGTATTTACCTATGTAGTGATGTGTCTTATGCATTAAATGACAACGATAGAATGTGAATATCAGTTGAGACAGTCCTATTAGATGAATGTAATTACTATAAGAGAATCAACACTGATCAACGCTTTTGCATGGCAGTGGATGAAAACTACGGCTAATTTTTATCGAGCTTCTTATTCAAAATGTCCAAAGTTTATTTGTGTGTAGTGTATCGATGCCTAGTGTTCTTTTTCTGACGAAAACACGCGAAGAGGAACGAAAAAAGAATTTCGAAACGTATAGACACTTAATAACCAACAGATGCTGGTATATTTCATTGGTCATCGCTACATGAAATGCATGATTGTGAAAAGAACTTATTTTATATGAAAAAAGTAATGAGGATTGGATCTCAGCAAGAGTTATCAGACCAGGGCTACCCCGAGTTACCCAACATTGGGGTTGGGCAGGTGTAGCAGTATTTTTGCTAACAGAACACATGGAATTGTTTGAATTTTGCTTGGAAAAAGCGAAAATTTTTCACGACTGGGGGGGTGTTACACTTCCCCCCCCCCCCAGTCGGGACAGCCGTATATCAGACTTATGGAAACTCTAATTTCACTGATGAATAGCCTTGTTGAAGAAATATGCAATGGTTTACATTCGTTTTTTGATTCTTCGATAACTTATTAGGGCGAGGAGAAACTATTAAGTTAATTCCTCAAATATCAAAAGTAGTTTGCATGATATGAAAATCCCTCAATTTCTATTATATTCTCGAGAACACATAGTAGTAATCAGAAAAGTTAGATGTTTTTATCAAGACTATCACTATACCATGAAAATAATCAAAGTTTACTTTTCATTCGTCGTTTTAAGACAAATTATGAAATAACGGATTATCGAAAAGTAATTAGACAAAATGTTCATTCAATTTTCAGTTATTTTAACGAATCTGGCGATATTTGAAAACATCGAGTTAGACTCTGAATTTTAGATTCCTTTAGCAGATGGACTCAAAAATTTGTGTTGAACTTTTGGTATAAAATTCATGAGCGAACTTTTTAGAGATCCATAAATTAAGTTAGAAAGAAGTTTATTGAGCCAAAAATTACTGAAAGTAGAAACGAAGCTTATTTGAAATACAGCAAATGAAAGAGCAAATATTTTTCAGTAAAATGACATATCAATAATTAGCTTGCTCTAAGTTATTTGTTAACAGTTACTGTTTTGGTAAAGTACACTACGTTAATTTAGATAATCTTCATGATTTCTACGAAAAACAGACTTACAAATTGAGATCGATTGTTTTTTAATGATTGCTCTGTACCTTCCTGAGTCTTAAATTACTTTGTAGAGGACAATTTTTCTCCTTAGTTCTAAGCAAAGGAAGTAGTATTAAAGCGTCTGCAGTAAACGAGATTATAGCAGAAAAGAACGTGAATTTCCTCCGTCCGAATTTAATTTACAGGCTGCTAAAACTGGGCTCATATGCTCTAAATTAGAATTTAAACAAGAATCTTTAACTGCTATTCGAACATGACACAACATTCTGATTCTAATGCAATGTTTTCAAATTTCTGTGACCTTCATAAAAAGACTGAAAAATAAATGCACATTTTGTCTAATTACTTTTCGACTATCTGTGCTGTATCCAATTATGTAATTAAAAAAAAACAACTACCTGGAACATATGAAAACAAAATAAAATATGACAAATATGCATAGCTATGTATATCTAATTTGCACCATTACTTCGTCGTTCTATATTTACGCTTTTTCAAACTAGACGTGGATATTGTGACAATTTTGTTTTTTCAGGGTCTTCATCTATTTTTATCTTACAGCCAATATTCTATGTAGACGAGATCGAGAATGTTTTGTATTTCGAAGAAATTATAATTTTTTTCCACAGCTGTTATAACTTGTGTTGCAATTGTTTCATTATTACAAACATCTGATTGACAACAATAGTTGATTTTAAAATGAACTTTTGTCAATCGTTGTCGATAAGCTATCCTCTTGAACTGCAAAATAAGTAACAACATGCAGCGCAGGTTGAACATTTGGATCATTTCTGCATTCGTGTCTTATTTGATTAGTTGACATGGAGTATTCCAAATAACATATATCAGTTGGACGTGATTGAATTTGATTTTGTTTGCCAAATATACATTTATCTAATGATTACCAAAAAGTTGAAAATAGTAGAGTTATATTTTTAAATTGTCGATTCATTTCGTAGTAAAAACATGTGTAGAACAGCTAAGCAACTTATCATGTAGGATTATTTGATTAAACATTGAAAAGTTGATTTAAGAAAGAGAATAAAAAATCTATTATATATGAGATAGCTATGAGAAGTTTTCCGCTTCAGACTAAAACTTCTATATTTAAAAAAAATTGTTTCATTTTGAAGTCCAATAGAAAACAAATGATAGTTTTCGTATCTGTTTTTTCATCTTTATTTATTAGTAATGGACTAATATTAGGCATTATGTCGTCGTATTCCACTTCCAATAACCATTCGAGATGATCAAATACAAATTGGCAATTACAATTATTTTCATCACATACAAATCGAATATTGTTCATAATATTATTCGATCGCATATTTATTTCAGCTATTCTCAATACTAATATATAAGAATCATTGTAAATTTATGAATTTCTAGTGAGACTATTTAAATCGGCAGCAGTGCCAAATAAAACATTGAACATTTTTTTTTCATAGTTAATTTGAATTTTAACAAGATATATTTTTAATATCCGTTAGTAGAATTAAGATTCTTAATAATTTTTGGTAAGTCATTCAAAGAAAAATCTAATAGTATGACAACAGGTGTTTTGGTGTCAAAACACGTACGAGCATTACAACTTACTGTAATAAAGACAAAAATGATAATAAGGTAAATAATTTCATTATGTTACTATATTATTACAAAGCTATTTATTGAGTTCTCTTTTGATGAAACGATCAATAATAGGAATGTTTGTTTTTAGTCAACCAGTCAATATGACCCGATGGCACATAAACATGTATTGAATTTTTTATTAGGCTATCATCGTATTACAATATAAACCTGACTTAAGTATTACCTATGAAAAAAACAGTTGGGTTACAGTAAAATAAAAGATTGATGAGGTTAAATACAGAGAAAGTTTTGAAAAATCAATCTCTGGCACTCTTTGTGTACACAAATAAGTGAAAAATCATTTGTTTACTATTGATTGGCTACTGTCGGAAATGTTGTTGTTCACTTGGTGCCTAACAAATTGTAAGTTTTTACTTAATTGAAAAGAGCATTATGTTAACAAAAAAGAAAATTGAACAGTTGATTGATAAACAAAATTCATTACATCAACGGTAAAACCAAAGGCTTCAGTTGTATGGAATAGTTTTAGCTATATCTATGTAAATGAGATTAAGCGAATAGGGAGCTGCGAGTCCACGAGTTAGTCGATCTGGACCCGCAGCTGTCTACTTATGAGTACTTGCAACACTAAAGCTTGCCAAACTACTGAGAAACGGATTAGAGTCTTTAAAATTAGTTTTAAGGAGCTGCGGAAGAGTCTTGTTTCATTATTTCGACAAGTAGATTGACTGGGATTTGAGTTCATCATACTGTTAGTTAATGGTCTTATTTGATGAAAGGTTTCCAATGAGACAGATTTTATCGGTATTCCATCAATTTTATTTTTTGTTCTTATTGAGCTCAATCTAGATGATTTATATATTTTACATGGCTGTCGAAGATTTACAATTATTAATAATGTTGACACTTTTCTGTCAGACGATTTATGCACGTGAAAATATGCCCTGTCAAGTAATTTTTAATTGCTAATTGTCTTCACAAATTTTGAACTTGCAAGATGCAACTTAAAAGTCAAATGATTCAGTTCTGCTTCTTTCATTCGTTGAGAATATTCATCATTTCAGAGTTCATAATTTTTTGTAATGTTTTTAATGAGATTCAAAAGAAAAAAAAACTGGAACTTTACAATCATTTTTAAAAATGTTATCGGCTTTATTACAGAAAGAAAATCACAAAAAAATTACTGTTTATGTGCCACATATTAGTTATAAATATATAGTGCGATTTTATTCTATTTCATGGATTTCAGTATAAACCATTTGCCTTTAGTTCTAACCTATCACGAGGATCCTATGAGCAATAATGTGTTGTGATGTATAAAAATAAGCAAAGCATGATGATTATATCACATATATCGATAAAATAAATTCCATAGGACTAAATATTATAAATTTTAATATGAATGCCTGCATATTTAGCTCGAATATTCTTCTGTAAAATCACGCAGTATGAAGAAAGAACAAGAGTTCTGTTTAGCGTTCATTACGAGAATAAAGAAATAAATGAGTATGAGTGTGTTAGAGTTGATTTGCATGTGGATGAAGATTAGAGCAACATCCATGCCAAAACTCTCCTGGTGCATCAAAACACAGAAAAACAAACGGTCAACAGTATTACAAAATCAAATAGATACCTTGTATCATTGACTTTATGATTATCTCATTGCAGCAGCTAATCTTCTATATGCTTTGTAATTAGCTGTGACAAAAATAGTTATTATTATTATTGTATAGAAACATTACTAAGTGTTAATAAACTAAAATATAAGTCTTTTTACTTATGTTTCACTGTTTCTTGTGAATTACAATCTAAAAGCAATTTTAAAGAATAGAGCTAAAAATTTGAATCCTTCCACAGATCGTAGCAGCATCAATGTCCATTGCGGCTGAAAATATGTCGCTATCGCGATGATCTTTGAGAAATTCTTCAAAAATCTTTTACTTCACTGTACTAAATTAGTACGGCTATATTGAATCCGTCAGATCCGCAGCAATTCTGACTGTTGAACTTGTATACACTCAAATAGGGTACAAATTCATGCAATTTTACAATCTTCCAAAAGCAAAGTGCAGCTGATACTGTCGCAGTGATGGCACTGTCGTGTCACTACTGACATATCTCCGTAACAGACATTGTTGCTATACGATCACAGACAGTATATGAATAATGTCTCATTCTAATATAAGAACTACTTCCTTATTGCATTGTTGGAGGATTAAGTAAAAGAATGATGAAGAAATGTGTCTCAAAATAGATAGAATAAAGCAATTTTTCTGTGATTAGCAACAACAGCTACATTGTGTTTCGCATTTTATTTCCTCCGGAATTGTGCTAAAAGTATTTGTCAATAGTAAACATTTGTTTCAAACTTATCTGCTGAGGTTTTTCTAAATTTTCTCAACAAGAAAATATTCAGAAGTTTCTATCTCAGTTTTCGACATTTTTACTTTCGACCAAAATAGGAGAGTCATGAAACTTATGCAGTGTGAAGCTGAAAGAGTCATATTGTGTTTTACATTTTCTCACTTCTAGTTTTATTTTCATATACTTTTCAAGAAAAAAAAGAGTTGCATTCACAAATATGAAACAAAATGATTGAGTAATTGTAAGAGACCCGAACACCAATATCTTTCCCAATGAATAGGTGTACGCCAGTAAGGTACATATTCCACGTTTCTACTAACGAGGGCGCTTGATGGGACCATATCTTAAGAACAGCTCAATCGATTTAGATAAAGTTTTTCTGTGAACATATATATTTTTATGAGTTCTATTTAGGAAAATATTTTCAACTAAAACCATTGAACTCTTAACTTTTTATTACTGATTCAATATGGGCAAAAATCCACAATTTAGGCAACTTTGATGCTTCATAAGTCATGATTAGAATAAAATAAAGGTCTAGAACCTTTACTAGAGCTAAATTTCACAAAGATGTATATATTCTTTAAAAATGTTAGCCATTTATGTTCTTCTTTTCGGTCAGTAGGATCCTCTCAAAAGTGACTTTGTGATGAAAATCGTGGATTTCAGACAAGTTGTTCTTCCAAGCAATAGAGTAGTTTGAAGGCTGAGTTTAAAAATCTGGAACACACATTGAAGATATACAACTTCATGGTAACTGTGTGACTGTGCGTGGATCAAGAGAAAACTCACATCCACATCCTTACTGGCACCCGTCCGGCAATTCGAAGGTTAAATATAAAACTCTCTACGTCATCAACAATTTCATTTGAGCTTACAAAGGCAGATCATTTTCTGAACAGTTTCTAGAGCACACAGGCTGGTTTCACCATGAACTTGTACACCTTAGATGTGTGTTACAGCTTTTGAAACTCAGTCATCAAACTACTCTATTGCTTGGGAGAAAATCTTGTCTGAAACTCACGGTTTTTATCAACAGCTCACTTTTGAGAGGGTCCCACTGATCGTAAAAAAGAATGTAAATAGGTGAAATTTTTAGTGAATATAAATCTTTGTAAAATCTAGCGCTACTAAAAATGTTAAACTTCTATTGTATTTTAATCATGAGTTATGAAGTACCAAACTGACTTACAATGTGAATTTTAGTCTATGTTGGATGATTCATAAAAAGTTCAGAGCTCAATGTTTTCAGTTGAACGTTGTTTCTTAAGCAAGATACATAAAGTTATATGCCCACAGAAAAATTTCATTTTAATCGGTCAAGTTCTTCTTGCTATATAGTCTCGGTAAGATCCCCCGTTAATGAATGCGTAGGCCTATAGGACTTCATCTGAAACATCCATAGAAAATCGAAAGTTCAATATTTTTCAAAATGGTTTGCGTCAAAATTCATAAAATTTCTCCATCGACAACAGTATCTTAAATAGAGCAAAATCTGGCGACTTTTATTGAGCAGCTCCGCTCGTGCTTTACTTAGGAATGATTCATATGCCAAATTCAATTATAAGAATTGAAATTGAAAAAAGTACAGTTCTGCTATTTTTTTTAGGCAAACATATGAAAGTCTAATCTTTTGGGTATGTACCTATTTCTATTTGATCTACTCATTAGAAACAGATATGAGTATTCGTACGTATTTCCGCATTTTACAAATATCTCAAATGTTTCTTGCTACTTAAAGACCAGAAATAAATAGGCAAAATTTTACTACTTAAATAGGAACTTTTCTATTGCTTACAAATTCAATATACAATTTATTTTTCATAATCAAAGTTAATTACAGTCGATTTTTATTAACAATTGTATTCAATATAAGTTTACATACGAAATTTAATAGCAAGCGCAATAGCAGTAAGACAAATTGTAAGAGCAAGTAAAACACCAATAGCGATAAAAATTGTACAATTTCTACTAAAAGTAAAGTGTCTAAAATTAAACATGAGAAAAAGTTGATCGTATTAAAATTAAATATTTTATTTACTTTTCTGATGATTCTCGTATTAATGTTTTATCAACAGTACTCTTTGGTGTATCAAGAATATCTGGTGTTACCGTACTCTGCATACTGTTTATTCGATTGAATTTTGACTAGAATATATAATGTGTTTATTATTAAATAACGAACTTTCTATGAACAAATTAATTAACCCTTATGAATTGATTTTCAATTTTTTCTACATTATGATCTGTATGAATGCTTACACGTTTGACTTCAGTTTCATTAGGACCTGACAAGATTTCCGACATTTGCATGTTTAGTTTTTCAATGAACAATGTACGTTGAATATTTGATTTAAATAAAATAAAAAGAACGCCTTTTATTCAAATGAAAACAATATGAAGTTTTCTAACATAATAAACAACAATGAAAATAAATAAGTAAAAAATCATATGAATTTTACAGGTTTCCTTTTATTGTGTCTATTTTTAATTGAATGTAAAAATAGTTTGAAATTTATTTTATAAAAGATGCATGACATTTGATTTAAAAACTAGAAAAAAATCAATCTATGATAGATAAGGTTTAAGTGCATCGTAGATTAATTGCCCTAATCGATCATAACCTTGCGGTGTTAAATGTACTTCATCATCCCAAATCTGTCGACGTTCATCATGAGAAAGTGAATGATGTGGTAAAAGTTGATCAACATCAAGAACTACAATATTATTATTATTGTTATTGTTTGATATTAGTTCTTCTCGTAATAGTCGATTAAATTCTTGCCGTCTTGTATCAAGTGGTGATTCTCTTGGACACATTGTTTCCGGTAAAGTCATACTAAGTACTCGAGCTCCATGTTTATGGCATTCATTAATTAATAATTTATAACGATCAAAGATTCGAGAAGCTTCTTGTTGATCACGCATTGTATCATTTGTACCAGCTAAAATAAGTACCCAATCATATTTATTTGCTGCTGACGATAATAATCGTTGAAGTCTTGATAACATTGTATCACTTAAAACTGCTTCACCACTTAAACCTGCATTATCAATATCAACTGTTGTAAATAACGAACGAAGAAGTTGAGAAAGACGAATAGTATATGGATGAAATGAACAACCATTTGCATAGAAACCTTCAGTTAGTGATGCACCGAAAGCTAAAATACGAAGACAATGTACCGAAGCCATGAAAGTAAATAACAAGGTATATGTTACTTTTTTTTATGACTAATCGAATATATGTATATATGTAATTACTTACTTTATCTTAGTGATGCTCATTGCATGACAACAAGTCACCAATCGTCTTTTAACATGCGCGAATCATACCCCATCTACTAAATTTCACTGTTAAAAATTACTATATATTGTTACTATTGGTCCTGTGATAAAAGGATGTTAATAGTAGAATATTAAAGTTTATCTGACAAAGAAAAATATCATAATCAACAAAAAGAATTAGTTTTATTGTTCTATAATTAAAAATTTATAAACAATCTTGTTATTGAAGTTAACTCATTTATAAATATTGCAGAATACTAACACTTCTTTGCATCATACAGAAATTGTATCATTCTGATGTACAAAGTCATAAACTTCGAGAAATGTTGCTAAATTATTATTTTTTGGTTTTAGTAAATAATAATTCTATTCTATTTTACATATATATCATAAAAGAATTTCGTCGTCAGCTCTTGTGAAACATTTGAATAAACAAAATTCAACTTCAAGTTTTTTTCTATTCTTTATATTTAAAACTACCAGTATAGAGACATTATCTTATTGTTTATTTACAGTCAACAAATACTGATATAAAATAATAGTGTATTGATGCTGTCTATCGGTCTCTGATTCTCTTGAATTTCTTCACACATTAATACAAATACCAAAAACTATAATTAATATTTATCAATGGTAGTATGCATCATAATCATCTTTCTACCAACAATAATTACATATACGGCATGATCAACCACTACAGAATTTTATTTTCTTCCATTGCAATACCTACAATCATGGACAAAAAATAACTACACCCTCTTCCCTAGAAACTGTTACTATTATTTATGGCATTGAGCTGATATTTTGGGTGTATGTGTGCGACAATACATTCTGATCGCAAGCATCAATCCAGTCTCTATCAGTTCCTTTGTTCTGAAGTTATGATTCATACATCATCAGACCTCGCAGAGACATTACTTTCCTGATTTATTGCTATAGGACTATATCTAAATGATTATGATGCATTCTTTTATTATAGGCAGTTTATTTTTCGAAATTTATTTAAAAATATTTACAGAATATCTTAAACAAAAAAAGAAATATAATGTTCAAATGATATTTATTTCAGGCACTCATTTTTGATGGTTTTTTCGTAATCAGTTTAAGTTTTTACCATTTTCAAATAATTGAACCTCCCGAGTAACTAGGATAGCGTTAGTAATTAGGGATGTGCACCGTGCTTAAAAACGAGATAAGGTCAGCGGTGGTTGCAAAACAACGGTGCAATCGCTCCACGTCTTTCTTACTCGAGAAGCATGAAACGGTACGATCGTGTCTAACGGCAATTGAAGAACTTTTTTCACATTTGTTGCACAATAATGTTTCTTGGAGATGGTGTTTCGTTTTTCAACACTTATGTAGCAACAACAATATAGAGTTATAGATACTACGAATGAACATATATCCGTAGACCAAAAGATATTGTTTTGATATGCAAATAAACTAAACAGAAAGAGTTGCAAAAGACAATAGTGTCCCTGTGTACAACAAAACTGGTTCTAATAATTAAATTTGAATACTTTTATTGATCGATGTGTCAGAATAAAACCTTTATTTGTGAATGAAAATATTGTACAAGACTGACTATGCTATTCAAAGCGAATTTTCAGGTTGAAAAATTTGAATTCGTAGAAAAAATTTCTTTGGAATGGTTAAACAATAACTCTAATAAGGAAGGAAAAGCAAATCATCTCATCGACTGACGAAGTGATTTTTAGTTAAAAAAGAAAGCATACAGCGCGTGTTGAATATAATATTAGATGGAAAAATTTATCAAAAGAACTGTACTACAGTTTACATTGAGCAAAAAACAAAAATCTAATCATTTTATAGATTAATCCAAAATAAGTTAAAAACTGAACGTTAATGAGAATCTAATTTTCTAGAATATTCGTTTTCATTTTGATGAACTTTGAAATAAACCAAGTTCTCAATTCATTTTATTTACTAATACGGAATGGAAATTCTGTTGACAGGTGAATCCGACAAAAAACCATTTCAATGCAACAAAGTCGACGGAGAGAGAAAACTTTGAAAAAAGATTACAGACTGCAGTACTGATTTTATGTTAGTTTTGATTTCATTATTTTGCATACGAAAAGGCATTTTTTTCCTGACGAAAAGATATTCATCTAGAGTTGAAAACTCATTTCTCTTTTATTGTTTAAAAATGATTTTACTCAAATTTCTGAGATCCGCAGAAAGTCTGAACAAAACCGATTCATTCCTTATTTACCGGGTATTGTATACCATTATAGGATACTTATTTTCACTTTAACTTATATTACAGTTAAACCTGTCAAAATTGAAGCTTTTGGTCAATCTAGATATAATGCTCGTTCTAATTAAACTCACCAAGCTTCAAACTAGCTAAGTTCCTTCGTTATCAGAATATTTTTTAACGAAGATTCATGAGAATTAGATCGATAACTTTAATTCATGAGTGTCAGAATGAAGTAATAAATTGGCCGGATCTCATAAAGATTCAGTCTCTCAACAATTAAAGCCCTTCTTTTAGCTTTATGATATTTGATGCACATTCACTTTTAGAAAATTTATAGCAACAGAGTTTAATAGCTAATGTGATTTGGGCGTGGCCGCCAATAAAGGAACCATATTTGACATCATGACACTGGCTGTGCATATCTCTTATTGCAGTAGCGTACGCTTGAACCTGTGATTCACCGTCGCCATTGTATCCCTAGTTGAAACTTTAACTAACTGCATTGCTTCATTCACTATTATGCAGATTTGGTCCTGAAAAATAGTATCAACATGAATTCTACTATTCCTGACTTTTGGACATATGCCGCTGCGATCTTCTGTAATATAAAAATAAAGAAATATTTCTCTTCCTCCTCTAACAACTAAGATTTCCCTAGGACTGCCGATTACTTTTAAAAAATGTTAAAATTGAGTGGAAGATGCAGTTCTCATATTTATAGTTTTTTCAAATTTACAGTATGTACGTCTGTATTTTTTATTATTTAATTTATATGGAAATAACAGAGACGTAATACGATAATACTGAACTGCATATTGCTTTATGAATATTTTATATAATCTACCGGAGTACATAAAAACTATATCGAAGTACTCAAGAAACATTTAGTATTATCTAGTGAGTACTCGAAACCGACGACCATTTATGAATCTCGCAGCATTTTCTATTATGACTATTTTTTGAGTATTCGATTAATAAGCATCTTCACTAAGGAATAAAATTAACATAAATAAATTAGTTGCTGTATAATGCTTCAGTGCATTCAGTATTTTTTACTAAAACTATTAAAATCAATATAGGCCTTTTTCAGATGAATACACTATTCTAAGAAAAATTTGTATAGTTTTGTGTAACTGAAAACATTGTGAAAAATTATTTATAGTAATATGTTTAAAGCACGAGTATAACATATTTTCTACTTCTCTTAACCATAATTATCAATTACTGACTTTTATAATCATTATTTTTTCAAGTATTTTAAAATTGACCTGTACACAATGAAGTTTATATTAAGATAAAAAAATCAATTATTTAGAAGCCAATTATAATAAAAAGTTGAACTGATTAGTTTTGTTTTTGACTTACTATATTTTTATTTTGACTCAGAAAAAAAATCAACAAAAACAATACAATTTCACCACAATCCTTATTATTAAAACAGGAAAGTTTAGAATCTTATACAAATGTCACATGTCAGTCATATATGTAAACAAAATATTTCATATTATGTATCATCTATTGTAAACGTGAAAATCCGAGTTTTACGAGATTGTGGCATTACAGCTGAAACTACAAATGATAATCGGTGAACTCGTAGTGAACTTCATGTTGATCAAGATGGTATCCATATTCGTATGACATTATGGAACGATCAGATTTTGTTATTTAAACGTTTATCTTATTTAAGTTTTTTATATAAGGGTCGAAAAGTACAAACCAGTATGGTTAATATAAATATAAAATTCAAAAATGTTAAAGTTTTATGGTGCAATGGTAAGTTAAATTTAAGAAAATTTAGCTTCTGTAATAGTTACTAAACACAGTCGTAACTCTATTTTTTTCTTTTACTTTTATCTAAAATTATTAATTTTTTTAAATGCTTAGGATCTCGCATGCTCGTTAACATGAATATTACTCATTTATCTATGGTTTGAATGATCTGATAAAACTATTTTAATTATATTCAATACATTTTCGTCAACATCAGAAAACAACTCAACATTTTATTAAATTTCAATTTGTTGTTTTCACAATATTACTCTAGTGCAAAAACAAATATGACTTCTTTTGTTTTCTTGTAAGCCATTTAAATTTGATTTGTACATTGTGATAAAGTTTAAGTGTCATTATTGAATTTCATTTACAATATAGATTAAGAAAAAGACAACTTCCATCTGCATCGTTTCAAATAGTGATATATAGTATAATCAGCCATTTTACTCAGCCACTATATATTTTTAATTCAAGACCATGAAATTAATTTACATGAGATTGATGTACAAGTGTGAAACGTGATAAAATGTTCATTATATTTCGAGTTTTATGTATGCTTATAATAGATTTTTTAATAATTGATTTCCTTTGAAATATGACAAGAATGAAAATTCAATGTATAAAAACTGCATTTTTGTCCAGCATAATATATTTTTTTAATAAAAGTATGTTTAATAATTGACTGACTGTATACACTCACAATAAATATACATAATCAGCTTGGCTCAAAATTTAATCAAACATATTTTTCCAAATGGAATTATAAGTAATCATATAGTTGACTTAAATAACTCATTATTAAAGCAAAATAATGACTGAAACCACATTTGTATAAATATTGAAAAAGAAAATAAATCTAGATAATTTTGTTATCTTACTATGGGCAACTTGGCAATTTTATATCAGAGTG